GAGCTGCCGACATCGGGAGCTCAGGGGGGGGGTCTCTGCACAGTCTTCCACGCTCTCCTCACTGTGCGCTATTTATCTTCCCCCTTCCCTGGCTGTGCCCAGATTTTACCTGCGTATCTTAATTCTCATCTGTTTTCGCATAAGATACATTTTAGCCCTGCAGCATTGTGCTGCTATGACAACAGGGTTGCACTTCTGCTGCTTTCACACCCTTGTTTTTCTTGTATTAGGACTCTTCCCCTCATCTTACAGCTTTGCTGTAAAGACATTACTTCATCCTTTATTTTTTGGTTTTTGTTTTAGCAAAATTTGTTATGCTGACTGCTTGCCCGTAAGTGTTGTTAGTACTGGAGCTGCCTAGAGAAGGTGGAAACCTACTATGTCTATTGGTAGGCCCACAGTTGCCTGCCTGTGTCCAGGCATTCAGAAGTAGTGAAAGTTTTAAAATGAAAAACCTTGTGTTAGCCAGGATTGTGACAGACCCAGCTTTCGGCTCTGCTGAACAACCAGAACCCACTTCCACCGACTTGGAAAATAATGGCTTAAGCATGCCATGTTTGCACAGCAGCACAGTGGGAAATACAGACAGGGGAACATAAATATGGTTATTTCCTCCATGAGTTTCCTCACATGTAGAAAATAAGTGAGGAAAGCTGGGAAGGCTGTAGACAGCATGCAGGGACATAATAATTAAGGAGTAGAGAGAGAATTTAAACCCCCAACAAGTACGAAGTCTGTAAAATTTTGAAGTTAAACTGTTTTGTCCTGCAGAAAGAAGTTGTGCAGCTCTTAAATAAAAGTATCCTTAAAACAAAATATGCAATTTTACTATTTGCTTGCATGTTCAAATAGATATTTAATCAGTTTTCCAGATCCGTTGATGGCTAGTTTATATGAGAGAGGCAATGTGCAAGCACTGTCTGAAAATACGTAGTCAGAAGTTTCTTTAAATAAACTAAACCCTCATCTACAGATTTTCATAGAGGCAAACTGCAAATACAATCCTCTTCAGTAAAGCATGTTACATTTCAATCTCTTTTCATCTTTGGATCTTGTCATCTTAAGTGGAGTTTTTGCCAAAGAAATAATTAGTACTGTGTTATTGTTACAAACACAGTAACATAAAGGGAAGAGAGGATATTCTTCTGCAAGAAAAGGAAACCTTTCATTAAAAAATAAAAAGTCTTTTATAGTATAATGCAGTTAACTCACTGTAAGTATAGAGGAATGAACAGGCTCAAAAGAACGGGTGCCTCACATTCTGGCTAAATCAGAATATATTTTCTGGGACTCAAAAATCTGGCTAGACCTGTGTTTCCAGTGCTTCTGTATGCCTTCAACCTACCAAGTTTCTAGCTGCAAGTGGAAATACCACAATGAAATGGTGGGGGGCTGCTCTAACACTATTTATGTGGCATTTAGGCTTTGACTATTCCTACAAACTTTAAATCTGAGTCATCTGAACTTCTGCACGATGGTCCAAACCAAATAACCCAGTTATGCTTGTTTCTCCAAGTATTTCTTGGAAATACAGAAGTAAAAGCACACTTTATTCAGTTAAGCGTTTTTATTTCCCGTTTCTCTCTGGAAAGAGTGAAATGTGGAGGAAGAAAGTCCTATACCAACAGCACAAGATGCCAGCTCAGCTACAGAGCAGGTTGAGCAGTGCGTAAAATTTCATTATTGTCCTCCCACAGCATCTCAAGTCTCAGGATGCATCTCTTGCATATCCAAGACTCTACGAAGGCTTTTTGTTGGATCATCTATTCAAGGCCAGCGATTCAGGACATGATTAGGTTTCTGCCTTCCTTCTGCAAATGACTATGCCACCTTCAAACACAACATTGGGATGGAAGACCTAGAATGGTTTAAGCATTTATGGGGTGTTACGAGAATGATGGATAGAGATTTACACAAAATAACACTGAAAAATGTACTCATCATCATCTCCAAGTCAAATCTATTATATAAAGCAGCCACACACCTCCCTGCTAATGAGCAGTAGAGACCTTGTGTGGAGCAGCATGTACATTCAGAGAGGGCTGCTGCTGTCTTGTGCCAGCAGCGTTGCGCTGGCAGATGCATGCCATCAGTGGGGAGTCCTACAGCAGCTCCTGCTCCAGGAGTGCTGCTTGAGATCTACACCTAAGACAGCCATGAGGCTGAGCCCTTCTCTAAATGCCTTCCCAGCCAGCCAACAGGGTATCATTAATAGTGGTAACAGCGAGTTTCTTGGGCTGAAACATGACCATGAGAAATTTGCAGTAAGCTGGACAGAGTATTTTAGAGATGCCATCAAAGAAGTTATTTCATTAACTAATTGATTAGGGTATTAATTAACTTTTGACAGTACCAGCTACGTTCCAATTTCAACTGTTCAGACCCCAAAACTTTGTATTGCTTTACTAAGGAGACAGTGCTGGAAGATGACTTCTTCCTCTGCTGAAACCAGGGGAAATCTTCTCCTTCTGTTGCCACATGACTAAGGTAGCTGAAGCTGTTCAAGGCTCATTCCTTCCTCTCCCTGGCTGATGAGGTGGGATACAGCAGGTAAGAAAGCTGAGAAGAACTGTTGTAAGAGCAGCTGGTGCCTGCTTGGGGCAACAGTCCTCCTGGGTCTCCCATCCTCCTGCTAGTGGGTGGAGATGCAGCAACAACCACTCAGGAGGAGCTAGTGTCCGACCTGACCTCTCTTCTAAAGCAAAGCCTCTCCCCTGGGAAGGTCATCCTTCCCCAGGAACGGAAAGATAAGCAAATGCTGCTGTATAGCTTCTCTGCCCTGACTCTGCCTACACAGCCACATTTTCAGGAATGTAGGTGGGATTACTCAATGGTTTCACCTAGGACACTTATTTACAAGCACTGCACTTCGAGTTGGTTGGCTCTGGACTGGGGCTGGGGATGCCATTGCTCCTCTCTCCCCTTCACGCAACTGCACATATATAAAAAAACGTTGGTGGCCACCTTTCCCTTGGTGAGCCGTGTTAATACAAAATGACGTAGCCCTGCATCACCACAGATGTAAGAATATTGGGAGATAGGAGTCCTCCCTCCTCTTTTCCTGTGCTTTGATCCATGGGGTGTCCACAGGGTTGGATAGGCAGCTGCCTGAGCCTGGCTTTGCCCACAAACAGAAAAATAATTAGGACAAAGGCCATAATTTGTTTTGCACAAGACATACTGGAATTAATTAGATAAGAGTTGGGAATAATGCATCAAACACGCCTGACAATGTCGAATTAACAGTAAGAGTAAACAGTCAAATGGCAATGTTCATTACATCACTAAATGAAAAATAACCATTTTGTTAGCAAATTGTTTATTAAAAATGAGGAAGTGTTAAATACTGACAGAACTTTGTAAGTTGTAGTACTTCCGCTGATGAGATACATCTTATGCAGAAGTTTGCTTGCGGAAAGATTCTAAGTACCATTTATCAGTGTGTCACTATGCTATTGACAAAACTACAGATCTCTGGAGAAAGCGGTACAGAGAAAAAAATCCATTATCATTATTATCCTATGACTGAGTAAATGTGCACATACTGGATGCGAATGCAATTCATGGTACAAGAAAATGAAGGAATGAAAATCATCTCTCTGGAGTTTTCTCATTCGCCGGTAACATTTCTGTTACTGTACTTAATGAGTTGATGCTCATTAAATCTGTTTGCTCATTACCATTGGGTAATATGTCAAAAGGAAGACAAAATACCAAGTGGCTCTGTGCTATAGTTCTGTATGTACATACAGTGGAAATAAAATATAAGTAAACCCACTGTAATAGTTATCTCCTTGTTTAGTAAAGAGTGAGGTCTCCCCAAAGTCTCTTACAATAGGTATTGCATCTATTTTCCCATTTTAGAAGAGACTCTCCCTGAAGCGATTAAAAGGAATTAACCCTGGCTTTTTGTGTGGGCTGACAGCTTGACATTCAGGGGTAAACAGAAAAAGCAAGCAGCAATGCTGAGTCTCTGGGGTTTCCACACGGCAACAGTGAGAACGTGCAGGACTGCGCTAGCCACACCTCTGGTTATTTGTAAATGTCCCTTTCTTTTTTTCCCGGGTGAACTTGACCCTCTTAATGGACAGGTTTTGCATCCGTCCTCCCTGCTTTTCCTTCCAAGGTTGTGCGAAACTAGCAGGGTGTAAACTACAGTACCAGCTCAAAAAAAAAAAATGCATATTTCCGACATGTTATGACATCTAGTACGGTGAGATGTCCTGTGAGATTGTGACTCGCACACTCTGAGCCGCTCAAGTGACAGGGAAAGACGCTGCCTGCTCTGACTAGTACCGGCAGCGCAGGCTGCACCATGCCTGCAACCTACAGCTGAGCTGCGTTTTAGTTCAGCTACAAAACCAGCATTTTCTGTGCTGGTGGGTTGGGAGTGGAGGGGGGGGAAATACTACCCGCTAAAAATAATCAGCTGAATTATGTCATTTGCCTTCATAAGCGGTGAGAAGGGGCTTTTGTGCGATCCCTTTCCAGGTAGAAGTGCTGCCCAGGCACAGCAGCAGCCCCCAAAAAGCGTTCTAGGCAGCTTGACACCTTGGTACCTAACTGTTTTTGAAGTTTATCAAAGCCCGAGTCGCCCTAACTCAGTAACACGGCTGCAGGGCGAGTACAGAGGCACCGAAAAATCATTCTAGCCAGCAGCCTGCCCTTCTCGCTCACCCAAAGCGAGTCAAATCACAACAGGGGAAAAAGACTGAAAAAACAACGGCGGGGGGGGGGGGGGGGGGGGTTGAAGGGGAAAGGCAGCGGAGCCCCCGGCGCTGGCATGGAGCGCTGAGCCGGCTGCCGGGACGGGCAGGCATCCCAACTGTTGCAGGGAGGTGACCGGGTATCCGCGGTGGCAGCACCCTCGGCACGGGTGGGTCCGTGAGCCCGGCAGTCCCAGGTAGGTGCGGAGAGAGGGCTCGGGAGTGGCGGGATGCGGGGAGCCGGGCCAGGCTCGGGGGTGGCGGTGCCCGGGGCCAAGAACCCACTGCTGTTACCTTGAGGATGAGATCGGTGTGGTGCTGGTCCAGCATGTTGGCCTTGCGGAAGGAGGTGATGATCACCCTGCCGTACCTTCCCGGCGTCTGCAGGTCGGAGTAGAGACGGTGCTTGGAGCGGTTCACCGGGAAGAGGCTGTCCACCAGGTTCCTCTCGATCTTGGCCAGGCTGTGCGTGGGGGCCAGGAGGTGCTCTACGCTCTCCTCCACCTGGTAGCGGCTGAAGCTGGCGCCCAGCAGAATTGAAATGAGCACGGGCGCCGAGGCGAAGAACACTGGGTGGCTGGCGACGAAGTGGCCAAGCCGGGAGAAAGACGTCCCCAGCCCCCTGTGCAAGACCTGCCGCAACATCCTAGTGCGGAGGGCGCGCAGGAGGGCGAGCGCCGCGCCGGGGCCCCCGCAGCTCCCCCACGGCCCCCGCAAGACCATGGGGCAGCCCCGCCGGGCGCCGCCTCACTGCCGGCAGCGGCAGCGGGGGGCCGGGGGCCGCCGCCGCGAGTGTGCGGTGTGCGCGGTGTGTGCGCGCGAGTGTGTGCACTCCCGCTCGGCTGCGTGAGCGGGGCGGCTCGGGCGCTCGTCCTCCCGCAACGCCGCCGTTCCCGGGAGGAGTTTCCAGCGCCTCCTTGCCTCACTTGCCAACCCGCCGCCCCTCGCCGCGGCCGCGGAGCGGCGGCGCGGACAGCAGGTGGGGGGGGCAGCCCCGCCGCCGCGGCCCCGCCGCCCCTCGCCGCGGGAAGGGGCAGGCGCCTCCGCTCCCCGCCCCCACCGCGGAGTTTGCGCGGGAGCGGGGCTGCCCGCAGACTGCTGACTAATCCCCCTGCCGCGGCAGGCGGGGCGGGCGCGGGAAGCCCTCCGCGGCGCCCCCGCCGCCTTCCGCACAGGGGCGCGGGGCCACGCCGGGCGGCGCCTACCACAGGGCGGCGGGGCGCAGCGCCGCGCCTCCCGCCGGGGCCGCCCCGCGGGCCGCGCTCGGGACGCGGCGGCGCGCCCCGCCCCGCCCGGCCCGGCTGCCGGCCGGCTCCGCCCGCCGCAGCCGCCGCGTGCACCGCCGCCCCCGGGACGGCCGGGTAGCGCAGGCTGCCCGTATCACCGACGGGTGAGCGGCAGGGGCCGCGGAGGGGCAGTTGGGTGTGTTTCGTGGGGGTCTTTGGCTCGGGGACTCGCCGCCAGAGACGTATGGGCGCTTCCCCCGGGGATAGCGGGGGGCCGCGGAGCGGGGTGCCCGACGGCGCGCCCCGCGCTCCCGACGAGCAGCCTACCGCGGCGGAGCCTGCAGCGCGGTATAGCCCGCCGCCCCGCTCGGCCAGAGTGGGCATGTGCGAGCGCCGCACATGCCCATTAGGGAAGCTGGTAGCCGGCGGCGGGTCTGCCCCGGCTCGTCTCGCCGATCCCCGCAACCCGGCGTCGGCCCCAGAGCCGCCCGGTCTGCCCCGGCAGCGGCCCGCGCGCCAGCGCCGCCGCTTCTGCCAATGCGATGAGGTGCGGTACAGTGCTGTGCGGTACCGGAGCGCACTGCCGCTCCCCTAAACACAAGCCGGCAACCCCGGCTACCACCTGTGCGTAGGTATATCTCGTCCCCGCGAGGTGCGATCGCGGGGGACGGTCTCATTCGTAAACGCAAATTGCAGTTTAATAACGGAAATGAGAGGCAGTGCTAGTGTGGGTCGTGTCAGTGGCCGTTGGCATAGGCGTGTACGTGGGCTCATGCCGCTGTCAGCTGGACCTTAGCTGTTGTGCGTTAAACTGAAGGTGCCGGTTTTGGGAGCCCATTTACCACCCGGGCCGGTGGTTTTACAAATCGGTAAAAAGGAAGTTTCTGTTTGACAGCTGTTACACGTGTTGCAGCTTGAAACAGCAGCAGCTCCCTGTTTTGATTATTGATAAGCTGACAGTCATCCTTCCTTTTACATTTCAGGAGTGTCTGACCTAAGCTAATGTTTTGTCACAGATGCTTCATGCACAAAACCTCCTTGACATCATTCCCGTCTCCTTGCTCGCAGCTGGGTCACCAGCTAGAATGCTAAACTCTTGTGTTTCACTGCTTCTACTGTGGTGAGTGAATGGCTTGATTGAGTGGTCCCATTATGACCAGTAAGGTCCCCATGTTCCCTGGTTCTTCTGGGTTTTGTGCCCAAGCCCAGAAAATGCTCCTGGTAGTACTCTACCTGGAGGCTGCCATCTGGTGTGCCTGATCCAGGGATGCTGGGGTTTATCACATGATCATGCCTGCTGCTTGTGTCAGTCCTCAATCAGTTTAAGATTAAAAAAAATAAAAAAATCATTTGGACATAGTTTGAAGAGAACCTCAGCAATGGAAATGGAAGTGGAAGCACAGACATCAGAGAGGAGCAGGGCCAAGTCTGGGTGAATCTTGATACGAGGTGAGGCTGCCGAACCTGGCTCTCTTGCCTCCCCGTCCTGTGCTTTCCCCTCGCTGCCTGTTTCCAGCTGCACACCAGTCACAACACAGGCACAGACATGTTGCTGTGTATCAAGGAGAAACACCAGAATACGCAGAGTGCCTTATGTCATTAGCAACAAGTAAAGAGCTGCTGTCATTGCTGCTGACAGTATCACCTGTGCCATTTGTTTTTTTTTTTTTGTCTCCATTAAACATTCTTTATCATTATTAAAAATGAAGGGGATTAGTTATTTCAGCAACCACCCAGTAGCTGACGCACAGGTCTCCAAGGTATCCCTGGAAAACTAGTTTGAGGACCTGACATCCAGCCCAGTTCCAAGCACGTTAACACTGTGTAAGCCAGAGGTAATATATCCATTTTGCAGGGGCAGAGAGGAAAGTCGATGTATCAGCAGCTCTGCTGGGTGTTTCTCTGTCTTCCCAGAGCAGAGTCTTTTTTCTTGCCTACTGTAACCAGCATCAGACTGAGCTGTTAGCTGCAGTGGAAATGATTTCTTTCCAAAGGTAGTCATCGATTTTTATCTAACAGAAATTCTGCCTCCCTTTAGCCCAGGGAATTGGCCTGCCTTTTTGCTGAGGGGAGTGCCTGAAGGGGAAGGATGTACAGAAGTGGGATAGGCAGCTCAACATGCTACTGGAAACACAGCTCAGCAGCATGTGCTGTAACCACACTGAGAATGTTGCAACATCGCGAGCGTCTTGCGTGTGTTACCAAACCAAAGGCAAGACCTCCTATGTACTCCTGACTCTGCAGACAGTGAAATCGCCTTGTTACTGACCACTGCTGCTGTAGTATTCCAAAAATTTCTAAATTTCTGTCAAAATACATTCTGTGGTATTATGGTTGTCCAGAGTGGAGCAGCTGGAGGCCTCCTGCAGTACTCTGTGGAGAGCAAAGCATGGCTGAGATCTTACTTCTTTTGTAGGGGAAAGCTCTGGTGACTGCAGCTTTTGCCAGGATCACATGCCAGGCAATGTGTATCAACCTGTTGAGCACTAACCAGCTCTAACTGTCTTTTGGAGGAAATGGAAGGGTAGGATTTCCATCACTGCTACTCTGCTACTGCTCTGAATGGCACTTTACAAAATAGATAATGATGTCTCATTGCTCTAGATTTTCCAAACTAAATGAAGAAGAGAATGATGGGAAGAGATGACCATACAATGAGGTGCAGATGCTGGGAAGAGGGATAATGAGGGGAGGGCAATATGATTATGTCCTTCAGAGTAAACGCCTCAGGGCAGCTCCTTTTGGGGGCAAAGTGTTAAAAGGAGATAGGGAAGTCATAAAGAATGCATCTGCACAGGGTTCAAGGCTGCTCCCAAGAGCCAGCCTCTCTGCTATGAAACGTTTATTGACTCTCAGGCTCACACAAAGATAACACCTTGGCCCATGCTCAGGGGCTCTCGAGGCCAGACAGATCTGGTGCTTTGCATGAGGCCATGCTGTCATTCCTGGGGTCTGCAAGGCCAGGGCGGGTCAAGCACCCCACAGCCCAGGCCTCAGGGCTTTAGCTGTCTGCCAGCACAAACAGGATGCTTTGAGCATCCAGAAATGAGCATCTACCTATGCATCTGCTCAAATCTTGTTATGATGGCAAATCTTAAAACTAATGTGAGAGTAAGAATTGGACAAGGTTTTATTTAAACTATCCTCTTTCCCCTTCCTCCCCAAAAGTGGTCTAATGAAAGAAAAAGCTGAAGTGATGGAGGAAAGGATTCCTGATGAGTAACTTCAGAAGAGTGAAGAGGGCCTAGGGGAAAAGAAAGGTGGCAGGAGCAGCTGGGATGGCTGTGGGAGGTATGCATAGAATAAGGATTTTGTGTTGTTTAGTTAGGCATGAGAAACCAGAGAAGATATTTTAGGAGTGTGTGCAGGGGATTTAGTGCCGCGAATGGGGAATGATCTTTGCCACAGCGCACTGAGCAATGTGTGATGTAGATTCCAGCTGGAGCTTGGAGAGAATGAGGTTACCCACAGTGAGGAGATGGGTAACAAAGACTTTGCTATTTTTTTTTTTTTAAGAGATCTAAAAAGAAAAAAATCAAGGAGAGTTTAATAACTGTGGTTAGATTCTTAAGGGATGCAAATCCTTTTTCGGTGAAGTTCTCTGTGTTATGCTCATTTACACCTGCTGAAAGTCTGGCTGGTGACATCCAAAGATACTGTGCTTTGTGCCAAGGGAACAAAACAACAGGTAGCCAGCCCAGGATAGCTGGGGAGAGCAGTAGCTCTCATTGCATCACCCGATTGAGCTCCACTTTGTCTTTCTTGGCCTTAGAACTGGGACCTGGGCCAATGTCAGTTAAATTGGTTAGGGCACAGACAAGGTTAATGATAAAGTTAATCTCCCATTGCTGATTGGTGAGGGAACCTCAGACTTGTAGCTTTTGTCCATTTGCAGTTACAGAAAAGCAAAGCAGGAGGCCTCCTCCTTATTTCCAGGCTGCATCCCATCACAGTGGGAAGATTACCCACAAGTATTGCTCATTTCCCTGATATACGCAGCACTTCTCTCATAAGGATGGCAATTTGCTCATGCTGAAAAGGCCTTTCTAGAAGCAACCATGGAAAGCAGTTAAACTATTGACTGCACTCGCTTCAGTGCAGTTAATAGTTTAACTAGTTGTTCTATTAGCTAATAGTTAATAAATAAAATATAATTTAATCAATGAAACTGTTCACTTTTATCTTTAAATCTTCTCAGTTCCACCTTCTCTTGGCTGGCAGAAAAGAGTGAGGCATCATGGGCACAAACAGCATGATCACAGTTTGAGAACCTCAAAACTAAAGTGCTTTTTTAAACTCTAGAACCAGAAAAAACATAAATGAAATACAGGATCAAAGCAGAATTTTTAGCGTGTGTGATCTCTCTCTGAACAAGTGCTTTGGGGCATGAAGGATGGGGCTATCTGAACAATAGCTGCCTTCTTAACTCAAAGTTCAAACCATGAAGCAATACCCTGCTGAGGGATGGCCGCACATTTTGCATCGGCTTCCACAGATTTTATTGCCAGAATTCAAGATGGCTGATTTCTTACCTCCTGAATCAGGCTACTGACAAAATCATTTGTGTTGGAATTTTTCCTTCAGCATATGTAAGCCCCTAGTGTTCACCAAACGGAATGGAAGAGAGAGGTAAAGCTGACAGAAAGCTATGGCTGTGCCTGCTCTTTGGTGTTGCACTCCCTAGTGCCCTGACGTTCTGCCACCTGTCACAGGGCATACATACTCTAATTGGACTTGCTAATGCAGATCTTGGGAGAAGTCACAGGAACTGGAATGTCTTCTTTTTTTCATCAGCTAAAAGGAAAGAAACCCTTGCTCCTGCATGACAACATCTCTTTTGCAGCCTGTCTTGTAAAATATAAATATGTAAATGCTCCTTGCTGGCCTGTTCCTACTTTTGGATAGAGATATATATAAAGAGAATGTAAATCACCAAGAAATAC